GACATCATGATTTATGTGACAAGTTGGGCATGATTGACATCTATGTCCCAACTTGAGGGCGAGTGTTAACAGTTGTTATTTTTTCCTATGTATAGTACCGCAGGGGTACTATTGTACTTTTACTCCTTTTTATTTTAGTTGTTGTCGCCCTAGTATATATATTAAAAAAGCTGCACCGCCAACAGTACCTTTTTGCTCTCAGTTCTCTCTTCTCTCTTCTCTCTTCTCTCTCTCTTTTCTCACTTCTTCCATTCTTCTCTCCTGCATAACAAAGCCCATATTCCTTTTACAAAATTGGCAAAATAAGTCTTCTTCCTCTGATAGACAAAATGCACATCTGCTTGGCATCTTAAAACCTCTCCGCTTCAAATTGTATTGTCTAAGGACACTGCCCATTGACACCAGCCATGCAAAAGCCTCCACTCTTGGAGGAAATTGTTTCCCCCAGATTCCTTTGGTTGAAGAAGCTTCCACCTGATTCCTCATCAATGCATTGTAAAGAGATTTAATAGTAAACACTGTAAATCTTCCTTTTTTACACTCCTTCCACCACTTTTCATCTGCTACCTCAGGATCAATTAAAGCCTTTTGCAATAATGACGGCAGCCCCATACATTCCTCAATCTCTCAATCCAACAATGGCCTCCTAAAGGTAGGACACCAAACCACCACATTATTTCTTACCTCATAACATTGAGAAACTGACACTCCTTTACCATAGGATTTCTCTGGAACAGGAAAGAATGTTGCAGGTGCCAGCATATGGCCAGGTTAGTAGGGGATGTGCATGAGCTTCTGGGAAAGACATTATTTCTTTCATGCCTTGTCCCATAAGGACCCATGCTGAGCTGGCATAATTAACTAGAATATTTGTCTGGCAAGAGATCGTCCTGCATTTCAAGTTGTCCTCGTGACATCCTAGAGGGGGGGGGGGGGTAACATCTATAAAAAGGACAAAAAGGAATTTTCTGGACAGAAAGAACTTCAGTAGTTCAGAACCTCAGGATTTCAAAGCTCTGGAACTCGGAGCTCCAAACCCTTCATCCCTCAGATCTATTCTCTCTCCTCTTCCTTCTGATCTGGTCACTCCCCTAGAGTCTTTCAGAAATTCACAGGCCACCGCTATCCCCTACACCTCTATCTATTATATTACTTGCCTACATCCCGGAGATATGAGGGTTGCCATTCCCCTTCTCTTTTTTTACCAAAAGAAAAGAAGAGCATTATTCAGATTTGAGTGCAAAGTTGACTCACCAGATTGAACACAAGCATCTAATATATATTAATACTAAATCCATAAAGAAATGTGATTGATTGGCTACAAGATCTTCTGGTCACAGTGGCTTGTTGCATGGTCAATTTTATCAAGTTAATAATAAATCTCCTCGCTCGAATTTCTCTTTCAAATTTTGAAGAGGCAGTAAGAATAGAATCACTTGAATAGTCCTCTTCACCTTAAGTACACTTCTTGGGTATCAATCGAAGATGACAGAAAACTAGGAGCCAGATCAAATAGAGAACTGATGATCTAGACCGTAAAGCATGAAAGTTCAAGAAAAACACCTCTTAGACAGTACCTTAAGGTTACAAAAACCAGGAAAAAAATATGAAAATATCAAAACCAGAATGTACAACGATGTGATCCAATCCAAAAACTAGCTCCAAACACTAATAATTCATGAAATTATCTTCTCAACTGCCATGCCAAATCAAAATGTATTTCACAGAGTCATGTTGCATGTACCACTGACTAATTCAAGATCCACCCAACATATTTGGTTATTTGTACTGCCAATAATGAAGAATCTGAGATTGTAATCTAGGTATTTTAATTGAGGAGGCAGCAGCCCTAATAGAAACAATTAAAAGCAAACAATATGGTCAAATATTCGCTACTTAGAATCCCATATTATTGCAGAAGCTTGAAGTCAAAAACCAATCTAAACAAGACTTGATAGCAACAGAAAATATGGAACTAAGATCGTACTAGAAGAGAAGCAACTGTTTATTGCTACCTTCATAAAAAAAGGCAAAGTAAACTGACCTCACTCAAATCAGTACAGAAAATCTGTTAAGCTGCAAAACCAGCTTAAAATTACACTAAAAACCCGAAATGAAGAACTAAGAATAGATTGAACACCCTGGTTACCTTGACAGATATGGTCCCCGCAAGGGCATCAAGGTCTTCGAGCAATTTTCCGATCCTGACCTCGTTCCATGGATCTCTGTACTGCTCTCTAAGGACATAGTCAGTGGAAAAGTTGTAAAGAATACTGGTTCGGCTCTGCGATGGAGTTTTTGTGAGCAATTCACTCTGTGGAGGGGCGTCTTTTGGCGGGTCAATCAGCCTCTCAAAGATGCTTGATCTTGCTTCCCAGAGAGCGTTTGTCACAGGAGAATTATACATTCCAGGCCATAGACTAAGAGGCTTCCTCGTCGAAGAGCTTGCATCGATTGGAGAACTATCAAAAGGGGAACTGAAGGTGGAAACAACGGGGATGGTACTGGAAGGGGAGGACTTGGAACCCATTGAATCCACAGGTTCCTTAGATGGGTTCGGGCTTGCAGAAGAAAAGGCCCTGGTTTGAGTGAAGTTGGGAGGTTTTAGTTCGACTCTTTTTAAGTTTCTGAGAAGAGAATGCCTTAGTTTTGGTGACTTGCTGAACTGGGTTTGGTGATATATGCTTTGCAGTTGAACCACAATCAGTAGAAAGGGTATAATAAATAACCAAACGAGAATTAAAAGGTCTGTGGTTGATAGAATTGAATGCAGTGGAGATGGGTTTGCAGATTTGGAAAAATGATCTCGAGAGTAGTTTCATGGTTAGAGAAAGATTTTAGTAGTTTCATGGTAGGATTTAAAAGGACAGCTCTGGTTCATGTGAAGGCATGGAATTAGAATTCCATTACGGGGATTTAGCTCTTGTTCATATGAGTGCCGGACTGCCGGAGGCTTTTCTATCTAACTTTCAAGTCTACCACATGACTACATCACAAATTCTGAAGTCTACCGTGGCCAAGGTCAAGGCCCCGAAATCAGAATCGCTCAAATTCGGAAAAGTACGGATACATCCGATGCAGAATTCTGAATTCTAATCCCAATTGCAGCCCAGTAACTCTGGCTCTCAATAAATCGTATTCTGTTCGTGAATTTTGCATTAATATACGGGTAGGATTCATGTATGGTTGGGGTTAGTTTTCTGACAATTTAATATAAATCCTGACAATTTAGTATTCAACTTTCAAAATGTACCAATTCATTATTTATCATTAACCAGATATTAATCAATCGGTAAGTGGTATTTGAAAAAACATAAATGCCCTTTTAAGTATTATCTAATTTCCTTTATCAACCACCCAAATGTCGATAAAAACTATAACAGTTTCAAATTTTTGTCTCTTCTATTCAAGAAAATTGGGGTCACATCTCAATGGGTATTCTGTGACCCTAATTTTCTTGAACAAGTATTTGAGACTTAATTTTTTGTTAACATTTGGATGGTTGATAAAGAAAATTAGATGATAAATACTGTATTAATACATTTTAAAATTCCGGGTACTGAATTATCACATTTTAAAATTTGGAGCCAAAATGACGCCAGGCCCGAAGTACAAGATACTAATCTGGAATTTTTTTAGCTTTAATATAGTTAATTTTGGCAATTGGAAGTTAAAGTTTTCACCTAACATGGCAACATGGCTTATAAGCTGTTTAGATGGGGCCCACCCCAAACAAAGAAACCTCTACGTCACTGCATGAAAGCCCTCCCAAATGGGGCACTTAGATTCAGAGATACTTGTGAATCATGTGATTAACAGGAGGGAAGGATTGCCCCAGAAATTGTGGATAGGGCTATTTAGGCTATGTTTGGTTTATTAAAAAAAAAAGAAGTGGAAATTTATGGAAAAGTCTTAAAGAATTTGACACCAAACATAGCCTTAAACGTCATGTGCAATGACAGGTGAATCACGACGGTATCATGTGGCCAAATTCATGGCCATTGTTACAGGTTGGGCTATGTTTGGATGGTCGGTACATAATTCAAAAATTTGGTAATTCTATTCATGCAAAATTTGAACCACTTATGTTGTGCTTTTTAAAAATCGTTCTAGAACAATCAGGTAAGCAGTTCAACTGTCTGGTTCGAATAAACAATCCATTCTAACTTAAAAATTAAAAAATTAAAAAAATAAAATAAAATAGGCCAAAAACCATTGTCTGGGTCGAACGAATCGATGATTCAACTACCCGGGTCAGTGAGTTGCTGATCAAATCAATGATTTTTGGCCAAAGACCGAGTTAAGGGTGACATAAAACCAGTTGCCTGGATGGTTCCCAAGCTAAGCAATCCAACCATTCAAGTCAATAACAATTCAAAAACACTGATGTTGTGTGGCACATGAAATGAATGATGGGTGGATTTAGCATCTTTCCATTATCCAGTGATGAACACATAATTAGTATTGTATTTAGGCTTGAACCCTTTTAGGGTTGACGTTTCACTTGATTATATATGCATCTAAGTGGAATGTTATTGTTTCTTAAATGGAATGAGAGGAGTGTTTGCCAATGTGGTGGCATCCTGTTTTATAGGGTTTGACTATGATATGGAAAAGATATGATATGGGAAAAACAATTGATCAATAAACTGAAATCACAAAAGTGATAGCAAATAAGATGTTATTTATCAAAATTCATGGGTGGGCTTTGATTGGTCAAAACTCTTTCCATATCATATCTTTTCTGCATCATAGATTTTCCCTTTAACCAAAAATGATGAATTGGTGCCTATATAACACCCTTTTTCTAAGAAATAACAATGGTACCAAACATTGCCAAGGTCATAGCCTACAATGAACTTCGGCCATAAAATAAAAAGACACATTCTACAATCCTTGTTGTGATTTCAAATTAGTGGATGCAAAGTAGAATCTTTTTTTGGACTAAAATTACCCTCTATTTCCTTATTTGAGAAAGGGTATAAAAGTCATTTTATTACACATTTAGTGTGAGCTTTAATTTCTATTAAAATGCCCATACTTGTGTATTTAATACATATCTAATTGTAAGGGTTAAAAATGTAACTTCAATTATTATTTTCCACCTCATTTAATTCCCTTTCATTAAGTCTTATACCTAAGGTATTAATTCTCATTTTCTCTTATTAAATTGTATATTTAAGTTATTTTTTCACTAATAAATGCTACTAATTAGATCTATGCCAATATTTTTAACAATATAAATCCATATATTTTAAAACTGACTAAAAAATAAAATCATTTTTTATCAAGTGGTGGTTAATCAATTCAACCATCTGACTCAAATTGATCAATCTATGAAGTAATAGTTAGGTAATAAAATTTTTAAAATAAAAATAAATATAGAAAAATATAAAAATGTAGAAAAAAATTAGACATATATTTTTATTAATTAAATTTAAAAAATAAGTGTATTAAACGAGAATTATTTTTATTGATAATGAAAATGAAATACAAAATTGAGAATTAACCAAAAATAAAATTATTTTACTATTTGGCAAAGATCAATAATTCAACTTTTGGGTCAAATGTGTTAATTTGTTAATATTTAATGTCATAAATAAATAATAAAAATTAAAATATAAAATACAAAAATGAAAAAAAATACATAATTTTTGTAAAAAAAATTCAAGCACATGTATAATATCATATAATCATCATATTAAAAAAAAGTATGTGTGACATATAAGAATTATTTTTACACACAAAAATAGAAAAGAAAATTATACAAAAAATTGAACACATATATAATTCTATATTTACACTACTATTACAAACATGAATAAGATTGTGGAACTTTCTTTTGACTAAAATATTTATTTTTTAATTTAATCCCTATTTAATTGTGATGTTTAAATTGTAAATTGAACTACTAATTTTCACCTCATCCAATTCCCTGTATTTAAATCTTACATTCTTTAGATAAATGATCATAAAAAAGATACACCAAAAAATAAAACATTACAAAAAAGATGAATCTAGCCATGCAGGTAAGCTTGTCAATGATACTTGAAACTTCACAACTCAATCCGATTATTACATATTTTTATGAGGTGTTTATGTAATCAGACTTGGATCTTTTTATCTACATCTAATTCATAATAAAAATATAAAAATATAAAAACAAAAAAATAAAAATACATAAAGTTCATAGAAATTTTTGAATACATTATTACCATCATTATTGTCATGTGAAAAGCACATGCACAGTTACTAATTGTCAAAAAGGGTCTTGCTACTAGCGGGTGAAAACTTTTTTTTGGTAACTGTGTGAAAACTTGAAATAATAGAGAAATCTTAGCCCTCACTTCATAGGAAATGAGGTCATAAAGTGGGATGCATACCAAGGGTGGTGGCTTATAGTTCACACCATAGTTTTCATCCGTTTTCCCCAAAAAGCGGATTTCCCCCCAAAACCGTTGATTTTGGTCAGCGAACCGTTGAACCGGGTGGTTAACTGTTTAAACGGTTTTGACCGTTTTTTTATTATTTTATTATTTTTTTAATTTTTTGTTAGAATGGGCTGAGCATTCGGTTCAGTCACCGAGTCGGTTTTAAAAACCATGGTTCACACGTGCATTTGCCAATAGAAATTTTTTATTTTAAACATTAAAAAAACAAGTTTGCAAAACTTGAAAACATGTTGTCATTTTGTGAGACCCAATTTCTTTCTTTCTTTTTATCTTTTGTTAATCTAACATGTGATCCATTCTTATAAGATTGGAGGACAACTTCCATTATTTTCAAATTGTGAGGAAAATGAAAACACAATAATTAATTAATTATGTGGGATCTGTTTTCTTGAAAATATATCCTTAAAAATGACCAATTGGCCAATATCACCTAAATCTTAGTTTTTGGGACACATGGCTCTTAATTTGGAATAGGGTGTATAACTTGCCACCTGTTCCTTTTTTTATTTGAGCATAACAATCCATCATGGGCTAATTGGATCTAGTAGGAAGCTTGCCTATGCAGTCTTCCATATTTCTACCACATGCAAGGATGGATAGATCAATTCAAACCACCCACCTGTTCAATTACTCACTCCACATCAGCCATGACCCTAGTTTCATTCAGGGGCGGAGCCAAGTATATTGGTGGGGCGTCCTTGGCCTCCCAAACTTTTTTTTTTTTAAATCGTTATTTATATAATTAGTAAGAGGAGGTGGGATCAAAAACGTAATAAAGTTGGTCCTTGGCCTCCAAAACTTGAACTAAAATGTCAAGGATCACTGTGCTCCTCCAACTCCAAAAATTAGAAAAAATGTTTACTTTTTCTTTTAAAAAATTTATAATAAATTCAAACTTTTCCACCCCATTTTTCTTCAATAGGGATGAGCAAAATAAACCGAAAAACTGAATCGACCAAAAAAACTGATCGAAACCGAACCGAAAACTCGGTTAGCCGAACCGGTCGGTTCGATTTTGGTTTGATATTCTTAAAAAACCGATAATTTTGATTTGGTTTCAGTTAACCTTTAAAAAATACCGACAGTTAACCGAACCGACTGGTATATATATATTACTATATATTTTAATTTTATATTTTTGAAAATCGAATAGGCTTCTCGGCATTCTCGCTTCTCTTTGTTTTTTCTCTTTTAAATCTGACTTTCTATCATTTTCACCTTTTTGGTGACTCAGCTACAGTAGCTACAGCTAGCTAGTCTTCTAGTATTTGCAAACCTTTTCTAATCTTCCATTCTTCCTCTCTTCAAATCAACCTTTCCCTTTCTCTCTCCCTCTCAGTTCTCCATCTCTCAACTCTCTGGTTTTCTTCTTCCCCAGACCGACCGATGGCCTCCGAGTCTCCGACCGTTGGCCTTCGAGTTCAGTTTCTCATCTCTCAGTTCTCTCTCTTATCTCTCTTTTCTTCCCCAATGGAAAAAAAATCCCAGATCGATTGACGACCTCTCATTTTTTTTTGAGTACATAAAAAACCGAAAAATCGAACTACGATTAACTGATCCACCAGTAGACCGATTAACCGGTTGCATCGGTTCAGTTTCAATTTGAATACTCAAAAAAACGATCAAGTTGATTTGGTTCACAAAATAACCCCACGGTAACTGAATCGTGGGCACCCC